TGATAACAAGCCATTGGAACTTTCATACAAGGAAGGAACATAAAATTGCACAATCACTTTGTAAAACAGTTTTTATTTTAAAGAGTTAAAGATACTATATGACTTAGCCATTCCACCCCAAAGTATTTCCCCAAGAGAAATAAAATCATATGAACAAAGAGGGGAAAAAGAGAGAAACCAAAAAACAGACTCTTAACTATAGAGAATAGGTAGTTACCAGAGAGGAGGTGGGTAGGTGGATGGGCGAAATAAGTGAAGGGGATTAAGAGTACACTTACCTTGGGTGCCTGGGTGGCTCCGTCTTTGAGTGTCTGCCTTCAGCTCAGGTCATGATCCCAGCGTCCTGGGCTCCCTGCTCTGTGTTAAGCCTGCTTCTCCCTCTCCCACTCCCGCTGCTTGTGTTCCCTCTCTTGCTGTGTCTTTCTCTGTCAAATAAAATCTTAAAAAAAAAAAAAAAAGTACACTTACCTTGATGAGCACTGACTAATATATGGAATTGCTGAATCACTATATTATATACCTGAAACTACTATAACACTGTATGTTAACTACACTGGAATTAAAATTTAAAAAATAAAGCTAAAATGATATGTCCATTAAGCACCACATATACTAAAGTTGGAACAATACAGAGAAGATTAGCATGGCCCTTGCACAACGATGACACACAAATTCGTGAAGCATTCCATATTCCTCAGAGGGCACGCACACACAGGTGCACAGGAGAGAGCTGGAGACAGAATGGTTAAAGTAAAACATAAACTTGGAAAATACAGAAAAATAAACAGAGAAAAAAAGAACTAGTGATGCACATGACAACATGAATTTCAATATAATTATACTGAGTGAAAAGCCAGGCAAGACAGAGTACACAATGGTAGGATTCCATTACATTCTAGCAAGTGGACACAAATTTATAGTGACAGTGGACTGGTAGTTCCCTGGGGGAGGGGATGGGAAGGAATTACAAAGGGGGTGATAGATGTTCATTACCTTGATGGTGGTGTTGATTTCATCAGTATATATCAAAACATCAAATTATGTACTTTAAGTGCGATTTTTATGTCAATTGTACCTTAAGCTGAGAAGAAGAAAAATGATGGAAGTATAGTCATAATTTTTTTTAAAGTTGACTCAGAAAAGGTAGAGGAGATAGAGTGGAGAAGACAGGATAACAGCTAAATTCTTAGAATATGCCTTGTTCTGTAGGTTTGACTTTGGACTCATGTCAATATTTTACATGGTTATAAAACAAATTTTAAAATTTTTAAATCTCGAGGAGAGGGAGCAAGATGGCGGAGGATTAGGAGACCTGGATTTCGTCTGGTCTCAGGAATTCAGCTGAATAGGGATCAAACCATTCTGAACACCTACGAACTCAACAGGAGATCGAAGAAGAGAGTAGCAACAACTCTCTGAACAGAGAAGCGACCACTTACAGGAAGGTAGGACGTGCAGAGAAGTGAATCCGAGGCGATATTCGGGAGAATAGACAGCGGGGGAGCCTCCATTGGCTGCTTCTGGCAAGTGCTAGAGCCACGGAGCACAAAATTGGAACTTTTAGAAGTCGGCTCCGCTGAGGGACGTCGCTCCAGTGGCTAAGTGGGAGGTAGAAACCTCGTGGGACAGTGTGGTCTCAGGACCCTCGGGGTCACAGAAAGACCAGGGGTGCCTGAGTGCGGCAGAGCTCCCAGGTATCAGAGCAGGGAAGCTGGCTGCAGAGACAGAGCCGAGGCGCGGGCTCTCAGCTCCGGGTTGCCATAAACTGTGATCCGCGGCCCAGTCGGGCCACTGCTCCTCCAACAGGGACCCAACAAGCGGCAGAGCCGGGGAGACTCCCCTTCCTCCCCCGGGAGGAGTGGCGCGGTAGCGCACCGCAGGGATCTGCTGGGTTTGGAGACTCCACACGGGGTCGGGTGCCAGAGATAGAAACGCTCGGTCACAGGCCAGGTGAGCACGGAGTGTAGCTGGAGACCAGGGAGACGGGAGTGACTGCTTTTCTCTGGGGGCGCACTGAGGAGCGGGGCCCCGAGTTCTCAGCTCCTCCAGGCGGAGAGTGGGAGGCTGCGATTTTCACCCTGGTCCTCCAAAGCTGTACTGAGAGCTTGCAGGGAACAAAAGTTCCTGAGAGTAAACCCGAGCAGCTTCCTTAGCCTGGACCGACAAGGGTGGAGCAATTCCGCCTCCGGCAAAGACATTTGGGAACCATGGCAACAGGCCCCTCCCCCAGAAGATCCCCACGAACAGCCAGCAAGCCAAGACCAAGTTTACCCATCAAGGAGAATGGGAGAACTCCAGCGCTTGGGGAATACCGCACATAGAATTCATGGCTTTTTTTT